CTAAGTCAGTGTTTCTCAACCTTGGTAGCTGGGGGATTCTGGGAGTTGAAGTCCACCCATCTTCAAGCTTCCAAGGTTGAGAAACACTGGTCTAAGTGCTATTGCTATTGCTTTTGCTATCTATCAGGCATAAGGAATCAGGACCATTCATTAGACTGCAGCATAGAAGATTTATTCAAGTCTATACACAAAAATCTACTCATCTAAAGTTCAACACCGAATTGGCATCAGAGAAGGCTCAGCAGAATTCAGGAGGGGTTGAGCTTGAACTGTTTGTAGGAACGTAATGATTCTGAGCTGATGACATGCTTAACTCTGCCCTCCCAACCTCTGCCTCTCTTCTCCTACAACATTGTTGCTATGCTGTGGAAATGACTGCTGAGGTTATGCTCCAGAAGCCAAAAGCTGAAGAGAAGGAATAGATCACTGCAACTGATTATCCTCATGCATTTTGTAAAAGACAAAAGGAGCAAAGAGGGTACATACGGATATGTATGTACCCTCAACTTAATTGATAGGCCAAGCAATCTATCAAAGAGCATTGTAGAAACAGCATATGTAAATCAGCGGTCCCCAGCCTTTCTGGCCTGGTGGCCCAGCAGGGGTGGAGACGGGATTGTGAGTGATAGGTGGCGTGCGCACGAGCATACACAGCTCCATTTGTGTGAGTGGGGGGTGCATGAATGCGCTGCTCACACAAAGAGAGCTTCGTACGTGAGCAAAAGCCACTGCTGGTTACGCGAGGGAAGCTTCACACGCAAGATGGCCACCGCTTGAGCAAGGGGAGCTTCGCGCGTGAGGGCAAGCGGCTGCCATTTTTGTGAGGGAAGTTTCACGTGCAAGCGCAAGACAATAGCCACTCACATGAGGGGAGGTTCACACACATGTTCATCCACCACCTGCACGGCCTGGCTCCAAACTGGTTGTGGCCTGATAGTAGGCTGCAGTCCAGGGGTTGTGGACCCCTAATGTAAATGGTTTCAACATACTTGTCTGTTTGTTCATTTTTCTTTTCTGTTTGCTCAGTCCACTCTTAAATAGAGAAGCAGCTCAGGAGGAAATGAAAGATCAGAAGATAATCAGAATAGTTCCTGAATGGCTTGGTAGTGCGAGCCTTGGTAGTACAGGGGTTTAAGGCACCCTGTTATTAAGCTGGTTATTAAGACTAGCTGCCTGCAATTACTGCAGGGTTCGAATCTCGCCAAGGCTCAAGGTTGACTCAGCCTTCCATCCTTTCTAAGGTGGGTAAATTGAGGACCCAGTTTGTGGGGCAATAAGCTGACTTTGTATAAATATACAAAAGGATGAAGGCTATTGCTGAGCACATTGTAAGCCGCCCTGAGTCTTCGGAGAAGGGCGGCATATAAATCAAATTAAAAAAAAAAAAATGGCTAAACCTTTCACAGGCTAAACTCATCTGACACTTTTTGATTCAGTGTGTTCTATAAACCTAGCCATTTTGCCCAGTATACACTGACCTATAATATTATCAAATTGCAGGGGTGGGCTGCTGGGGATTGGCAGGGGTTCTGGAGAACCTCTAGCTAAGATTCTGTGCAGTTCGGAGAACCCCCAAATCCCACTCCTGGTTGGCCCTGCCCACCCCTGCCCACCCCTCCCAGCAGTGGTGGGATTCAGCCAGTTCGCACCACTTCGGGGGAACCGGTTGTTAACTTTCTGAGCAGTTTGGCAAACTGGTTGTTGGAAGAAATCATTAGGGCAGAGAACCAGTTGTTAAATTACTTGAATCCCACCACTGCCTCCCAGGAGTCCCCACGCAGCCTGTTTTGGATGCAGGTAAGTGCAGGGCACACGTGGAGGCTCGGGGAGGGTGAAAAACGGGCCTATCTCCCGGAGACTTGAGGAAAGCCTCTGGAGCCCAGGGAGGGCAAAAACGCCCCTGTCCCCCACCGTGGTTCAGGAGGCCAACTAGGCCACCAGGTAGAGAATCCCTTGCTAAAAATTTTTTTTGTTTTCGTGTTTCGTATCATTTGTATAACACCCAGAATCGTTGTAAGCATATAAATTTAACAAATAATAATAATCCCTTAGTGATACACTACCTTGACTAACCCCTGCCAAATTGCCTGGATCCATTCCACTACCTGCCAAGTCACAAAACCAACCCCACAAAGATTAAAACTAACCAAGTTTAGCATGTAGAGCAAATGCACTTGTAAAATGTGTAACTCGTGTAATTAAGGAACATTGAATAAACAGAACTACTGTATTTTTCAGAATATAAGATGCGCACCTTTTTCCCCCTTAAAAGAGGCTAAAAATTTGGGTGCATCTTATACTCTGAATGTAGCTTTTTCGAAGCTTTTTTTCAGCCCTAATGAGGCACTAACGAGGCACTAGCGAGTGAAGCAACCTTCCCAGCTTTGCCTGCTCCCTGGATTCCCCGCTGTGCTTTAACGTGGCGCTAGAGAGTTAAGCGATTGCCATGCTTTGCTCCGACTCTCAGCTATTCTTTAGAAGCTTTTTTTCAGCCCTAACTAGGCGTTAGCCGAGTGAAGCGATCTCCCCATGCTTTGCTGCTTTTCTCATTGCTGCTTCCTCTCAGCTGTGCCTTAAAGCTGTTTTTTATCCGCAAGCAGGGGATAAAAAACCAGCAAACTAATGTGCTGAAGCTGACTAGACTAAGGCTAGCCAGATAAATATCTGATAGGCAATTTCCCCCCCCCCCCTATTTTCCTCCCCAAAAACTAAGCTGTGTCTTATACTCCAAAAAATACGGTATTTATACAAATAAGGAAGGTGTGATAACAAACATTTAAAATAAAATAGATTGCCACTAGATCATTGTTTGTTTAATCTTGGTTTAGTAGACAAAATGTGGTTATAGAAAGCAAATTTAGTTAAAATAAATGCAAACGTGCTACTAACCCAGGTTGAACTAAGAGTACCATATGATGTAAATGGACTATTAGATTTGTAAACTCACCTGATAAGGTATATTATGTGAACTCAAGTCCAGGAATGGATGTTTTTATGGTAGGCAGATTTTGAACGAAGGATGCAAGTTGGTTGAAGCTTAGAATTCAGCTGTTAACTGTGGGAGATCTAACCCACGATTTGTAGGTGCACTTGAGTTGACGAAAGCTGCTTTCCAAAGTGTTTTGCTTGTATATTTAATTATAAAGCCAGAGCAGCAAAGGCACAATCAGTCCAAATTAGCCTCACATCCCAAAGAAATATTGCTTTGTAATTTTGCCTTTCCTTTTCCATTTGGGAGAAATGAGGAACATATTACAGAAAAGTTTGGGTTTGTACTAAGCCATGGGTGTTTCTGCCCTAGTTTGCTAGATAAAACTTAAAACGTACTAAAACCTACCATAAAGGCAAGGTTCACAAAACACATGAAACCAAAACCAAATTACAATATGGCTTAACTCTGTCTAAACCCCAGGAGCTCCTCTCAAATCAAGGGAAGTTTTTATCTTTACCATATTCTGCACCATTTTCTGCGCCAACTCAGAAAGCTCAAACTGCCCAAGGAGCTGCTGATACAGTTCTACAAAGGAATTATTGAGTCTGTCATCTGCATCTCTATAACTGTCTGGTTTGGTTCTGCAACCCAACAAGAAAGACAAAGACTTCAGAGGATAATTAGAACTGCAGAAAAAAACAATTACTACCAACCTGCCTTCCATTGAGGACCTGTATACTACACGAGTCAAAAAGAGGGCTGTGAAAATAATTACAGACCCCTCGCATCCTGGACATAAACTGTTTCAACTCCTATCCTCAAAACAACGCTATAGAGCATTGCACACCAAAACAACTAGACACAAGAACAGTTTTCCCCGAACACCATAACTCTGCTAAACAAATAATTCCCTCAACACTGTCAAACTAGTTACTAAGTCTGCACTACTATTAATATTCTCATCGTTCCTATCACTCATCTCCTCCCACTTATGACTGTATGACTGTAATCTTGTTCCTGGTATCCTTACAATTTATATTGATATTGTTTCCTGATTGCTTATTTGTAATGTATGGCTATCATTAAGTGTTGTACCTTATGATTCTTGATGAACGTATCTTTTCTTTTTATGTACACTGAGAGCGTATGCAGAAATGTTGGGCTCAATTGTGGTTGGAAGTTGAGGCATACTTGTAGTCCTCGACTTACAATTATTTATTTAGTGATTGTTCGATTGGGAAAAAGTGACTTATCACCAGTTTTCACACTTTGATCATTGTAGCATCCCCATGATCACATGATCAATATTCAGGCACTTGGCAACTGGCATGTACCTATGACAGTTGCACTGTCCCAGGGTCATGTGATCACCATTTGTAACCGTTTCCCAGCTGGCTTCCGATAAGCAAAGTCAATGTGGGAAACAGATTAGCCTAACAACCACATGATTCACTTAACAGCTGCAGCGATTCACTTAACCACTGTGGCAAAAAGGTCGTAAAATGGGGTGCAACTCACTTAACAACTGTCTTGCTTAGCAACACAAAGGTTGGGCTTAATTGTGGTCATATGTCGGGGACTACCTATGTGCATAAAAGGTAAAGGTTCCCCTCGCACATATGTGCTAATCGTTCCCGACTCTAGGGGGCGGTGCTCATCTCCGTTTCAAAGCCGAAGAGCCAGCGCTGTCCGAAGACGTCTCCGTGGTCATGTGGCGGGCATGACTAAACGCCAAAGGCGCACGGAATGCTGTTACCTTCCCACCAAAGGTGGTCCCTATTTTTCTACTTGCATTTTTTTAACGTGCTTTCGAACTGCTAGGTTGGCAGAAGCTGGGACAAGTAACGGGAGCTCACCCTGTTATGCGGCACTAGGGATTTGAACCGCTGAACTGCCAACCTTTCGATTGACAAGCTCAGCATCTTAGCCACTGAGCCACCGCGTCCTGTACCTATGTGCATATTAGGGGGCAAAGAAGAGGATAAAAGGAGGAAGAGATCAGGGTAAAATTGGTGGCTGGTAATTTATACAGACAGATCCAGATTTAAAATTAGAAAGATGCTCTCACCTTAATGAGGAAAGCTGTGCCAGGAAAGCTGTGGAACTACGTTGCCTATCATCCAGGTATTCATTGTGAGCTCACTACCAAAGGCAGTGCTGTTCTCCCCGAGAGATATTTTTCTTTAACAGGGACACGGACTGGACAGCTTTTCAAAGACAGAGCTGTTCTTTGTGAAGTAAGACATGCAGCTATCCTAAAATAGGAAGAAATATACAGAGAGAAATGTAAACCATTGTGAAGTGCTTTGACATTACGCAGCAAGCAGCTGTGGTAAACAGCCAGCACAATGTATTTAAATCACTCCACAAAAATGCAACATATCATTATGACATCCCTGGAAGCCACAGGTTTAAAAAAAGGAACTTCCTGGGTTGCTAGCTATTTACAGTCAAGGAACAAACGATCAAGGTTTTGCTATTTTCTTTTACAAACACATCACTATAAAAACCTGCCTACACAAGTTTTTCTGCAGAATTAGCAAACCTCTCCACACCATATCCTATTCACACCCCTCCAATGCTAAGTAATTAACTACGGCGGACATTTCTTTGTTCTTCTCCAATCTTTTTGTTCCATTATTCTCAAGCCTAGGTTAGTCTGGTTTTTTTCTCACACTGCGGTTAAGTGAGTCTGGAATCTCACACTTGGGCTGCAACTTCATCGGTACACCTAGGAAGTGCACATTCCTAGATTACACCTAGCAATCTGCACAAAAAAGTTTAATAAAACTAACGCAGCGTCGTCAGATAAGCTAAAACGCATCCACATGTCTCCCGCTATCTTCAATATATAGTAAAATCAAGAGGCATTTTATATCAAAGATGGGGCATACAAAGAATGTTCTGAGATCATGATGTCATCATCACTGGCTGTTTTAACTGAAGCTTTAGGGCAGAGGTATCAAACTCAAGGCCTGGGGGGCGGATCTGGCCCACGGGGTGCTTAGATCTGGCACATGGTGCCACCCTGGAAACAGTGAAGGACCGGCCCGTGATGCCACTGCCAGCGAAAACAGAGCTCAGGAGGGCTGCGTGCAGGTGGCAGGAGGCCATCACAGCCAAAACACGGAACTCGGAAGCCCGTATGCCCAGGCCACTACAAGTGCCCCCAACACGAGTAATGTCAAGCTGGCCACACCCACGCTACCGCCCCCCCTCCCCCAAGGTCAAACACAACTATGATGTGGCCCCAATGAAATCGAGTTTGCTCATCCCTGCTTTAGGGAGTTAGATTTCCTAATCACTGTTATAAGTCAACAGTTAATTAGTCCAATTGTGCTACCTATTCTCTGAAGATTCCACTCCATCTCCACTTTCACAACAAAAAGGTGTAGTCTCCTACTTCCATTCACCAAACTTCAGTCAACGTGGAAAATCCAAGGTAGGAATTGCGTTCATCATCTTCCATTAATTGCACTAGTAGACATGAGTGATCTGATGGGCTGTGCCTCAGAAGGACTGGTTCACACAGCATACTAAACCAGGGATCTCCGACCTTGGCAACTTTAAAACTTGTGGACTTCAACTCCCAGCGTTCCTCAAAGCAAAGCTAGCTGAGGAACGCTGGGGGTTGAAGTCCACAAGTCTTAAAGTTGCCAAGGTTGGAGACCCCTGTACTAAACTATATGATGCGCTGGTAGAAGAAAGCAAATATCATTTTCCCCCCCCAATGTGGCCTGATGTGATAAGCTTATAGAGGGGAGTAATGTTTTCAGACAGTTCTTGGCTTTTCAGATCTTTGCAGATTGTAATGCTTGTACTTTGTGTTTTTGGAGGGATCTAAAACCAGGAAAAATCATACAAAGGAAAATTGGCAGTTTTCTCACCAAATCTTGGCAGTCCAGTGTGAGAATGCTCTAGAAACTTTACAAATGAGGCTATGACTGCATGTTGTTTAGCTTTTGAGTATTTTTCTGAAACATGGACTTGGAGCTTTCAGGTTGTCGAGACCCACTAACTGGGGAATTACAAGCACTTAATGTTGACAGTTCAGCAAACAACAACAGTTCAACAGGAGTTCAACAACTCTATTCAGAGCAGCAGGTTGATTGCCACAATACCACTGAATCCAAGAAAAACTAAGTAGAGCTCAACAATAAGACGTATAAAGAGTCTTGGCAAACACATAACAAAAATAGAAGCAGCAGAAGCAGGGAAGTCAAAGGATAGAGGAGAAATGCACCATGCCCGTGATGGCGAACCGATGGCACGTGTCACACGTGCCAGAGGTGGCACGCAGAGCGCTCTCTGCTGGCACGAGCACCGTCGCCCCAGGTCAGATCTCCATGGTGTTTCTTTCGTGAGCTTCTGTTTCCCTGCAAACAACGAAACAGAGCTCACGAAAGAGAAAGATCTTACCTCTTACCACGCTGCCGGTGTTGGGATGCCCCACCTCCCGCCAGCCAACTGGTCTTCGGGTCTCTGCTGTGCATGCGCGCATGTCTGCGCATGTCTGTGTGCATGTCCATGCATATGCAAGTTCACGCATGTCTGTGCATGCGCATGCCTACACATGTTCGCAAGTGCATACATTCGCGCACAAGCACACAACTTTCAGTTTGGGCATGCACGCATGCATTTTGGGCATTCGGTGTCTAAAAGGATCACCATCACTGCACCATGCCATTGCCAATTAAGCTGAGTTCATATCAACGTAGCACATTCAACTATAATTCTAAAAGAATGGACATGAACAAATATGAAAGAGCAATGGCTCTTCTCAGAAAAGTCAGATATAAACACATATTTTTATGCATTACCCAAAATTTACAATGTTGTTTGGTTTGACATAGCGTGCTGTATGAAACCAGTCCTTGTGGAGTTACTAACCACTACTCGTGGCTTTGAATGTTGTGTGAATTCTACCGTACCAGTTGTGATTTATTTGATAATGACCAAACAACCCATACCTTAGTGTTATATGTGGTACAGCACTCCCAATCAATGAATGATTCAAAAGCTTTAAATTGTATGTACAATGGCAATTGTATCGGCACAATTGAATTCATCGTTTCAATGGTCTCATAGTATTTACTCATTGAGTACTTGGTTTCAATAATTTTTTAAAAAATCATTTAGTTTCATACTTGAGAATTTTAGTAGGCCCTCCTACTCATAATTTATATCTCTTAGCAGCATGTATCAATAAACATCAAGAACACTCCAAATTGAACAAAAAAATTAAAAAGCTAATAGGTAAAGGTTCCCCTCAATCAGTAACAGTAACAGAGTTGGAGGGGACCTTGGAGGTCATAATTCTAGTCCAACCCCCTGCTCATGCAGGAGACCTGTACTAGGGATTCGAACCACTGAACTGCTGACCTTTCTGATCGACAAGCTCAGTGTCTTAGCCACTGAGCCACCTACTCGTACATACGTGCTAGTCGTTCCTGACTCTAGGGGGCAGTGCTCAACTCCGTTTCAAAGCCGAAGAGCCAGCGCTGTCCGAAGACATCTCCATGGCCATGTGACTGGTATGATTAAACACCAAAGGCGCACAGCTGTTACCTTCCCACCAAAGGTGGTCCCTATTTTTCTACTTGCATTTTTTACATGCTTTCGAACTGCTAGGTTGGCAGAAGCTGGGACAAGTAACAGGAGCTCATCCCGTTTCGCGGCACTAGGGATTCAAACTGCTGAACTGCCGACCTTTCGATCAATAATCTCAATGTCTTAGCTACTGAGCCACCACGTCCCTCTTAAAAAAAAAAAAAAAAAACTAATGTAACAGGCTAAAGTTATATCCTGTAAGGTACACATACCCAATCCTGGGCATAACAAGCTCTTATTTTCCCAACAGAATGGGCACAATTATTGTCCTGGCCCAGTGCCTGGAAGAAAAGCCAGGTTTTCATGATTCCACGAAAGCCTAATAGGGTCAGGGCCACCCAAACCTCCAGTGGGGTGGAGGTCTTGTTCTAAAGTACAGGTGCAACAACTTCTTTCAAAGGCACATTGAGGTCTCATTAGATAATGCTGCTTGGGGGACTGAGCATGCTCACTCTGTACAATCTAATGGAATGGACTGAAATAACCAGAGATAGGCAGTCTCCCAAATAACGCCCTGAGTCCTTCGGGAGTAGGGCGGTATACAAATTCAATAAATAAATAAATAAATGCAGGTCTGTGCCATGCAAGCATTATAAGTGATAAATACTTTTTTTTTTAATTTGATTTATATGCCACCCTTCTCCAGAGGCTCAGGGTGGCTTACAATGCCTTCATACTTTTGTATATTTATACAAAGTCAGCTTATTGCCCCCACAAACTGGGTCCTCAATTTACCTACCTTAGAAAGGATGGAAGGCTGAGTCAACCTTGAGCCTGGTGAGATTTGAACTTACAGTAATTGCAGACAGCTGGTGTTAATCACAATGCTATCAGTCTGCTGAGCCACCAGGCCCCACCAGGCCCCACTTTCAAGCCACTTTGACTTGCATCTGGAAGTCTATACGGAGCCAGTAAGAGCTTATGGAATAGTGGTGTTACATAGATGTACTGATGTTTGCCCGTTACTGCTCAATGTGACTGAACCAGTTGCAGCATCTGGATCATCTTCAAGGGCACTTCCATGTACAGCATACTACAGAATCAAAATGAAAGCTAACCAAGATGTGAGTGATGATGAGCAGGACCTCTTCATCCAGAAAGAGATGCAAGATGGAGCCTTGTACTGCCTCCCAATCAAGTAAGCTCAGGTGGACCTCCATATTATCTGCAGCTCTGAATGGGCGAGTGAGTTTTTAAATACAGTAAATCTTCAGATCTGGCCCAGCTGCTTGGTCTTCCTAGGATTAGGCATTAAATCTACTGAAATTAACCAGCTCAACTAGGTTTACCTTTAGCTCAGATTATGTCTAGTAAGTACAAGAAAAAGATACAGAATTATTAATATAGTTTCAATTCATCAGAATTGATTTAAGAAATCACGATTATATTGTATGGTTTCTCTTACAGATTCACCAGCACAATACTAGCTGTAACAGGGAGCTGCAGCATTCCCTCACATTTCATATTGCATCTGCAGTATATCCATACATCTTTAATTTACACAATTAGTGGGGTGGGGTTTCCCCCCCCCCTGTTTACAATAAGCTGCATAAAATTTCAGGAAAAGTATCCATGTCTCAGCAATTATCTCATCCAATCTGCCCAAAAGACCAATCTGATTTAAAATCATGGCTTGTTTCCCATATTACATTTTCAATACTTGATTGAATTCTGGAAAAAAAAATTAAGACAAGAGTTCCTTTAAACGTATGCCCAGTATTGTCCCATGCTTTGGTCCACTCCCATCTTTTTACATATAAATAAAGCATTACACAAAGATAATATATATATATTACAAGGCCATCTCACGCCTCATCACTCCAGCACAGCGGAGAAGAATCAATCAAAATCGCCTTGCCTTTTAGGCAAGGCTGCCTTTCGCAGGCTCCAAATCCCTGCTAGCCAATCGCGGCCAGGATTCCCTTTGACGTCTGAGCTGCCAAACGCCTTCTCCCGTCACCTCCCCTTCATTCCAACCCCAACTCCTCCTCTTCCCCGCCCATCCCCAGTCTAATAATCCAAGGGGGCGGGTCGCCGTCCCGAACTCCGCGCCGCGCCCTCCTCTCGCACCCAATGGCGACCACCCCGAACTTCTAAAGCTCGTCAAAGATTGGTCGTTCGACCCGAGCCAATCGCGTCGCGTCGCCGCCGTAGTATATAAATCAATGCTGGGGCTGAGCTCCCCGCAGTGCTCAAGCGTTGCGGGCGCGGAGTGAGGAGGGGACGGGTGGAAGGAAGGGAACTTGGCTCTTGCACGCGCCGAGGTTACGCCTTCCCTTTCCCCGCCCCCTCCGGTTCCCTCAGACCGATTTCTTTCCACGGGTGGTTTTGGTTTTTTTTTTTTTCTTTTTCCCGCCCTTTCTTCTCCTTCTGGAATTTTCCTCTGTTTTTGAGGGGGTGAAGCGGTTTCCTCAGCCGCTCGAGCCGTCTGGGTTTTTATCTCGGTTTGTGTAACCGCCTTTCTCCGGCGCTTCTCTGCCCACCCACCCACCCACCCTTTCTTGTCTCCCTCGGGAAAGAGCCCCACCACTCCTCCTCACGATGCGCGCCACGGGGACCGGGACGGCTGGCACGGCCGCCGCGAGCTCGGGGAAAGCGCCGCCGACCACGCCGGCTGACGGGGATGAGCGCTTCAGCGTCCTGAGCTGGGAGCAGGTGCAGCGGCTGGACCACATCCTGGAGGAAGCCGTCCCCATCCACGGCCGCGGCAACTTCCCCACCTTGTCGGTGCGGCCCCGCAGAATCGTGCAGGTGCGTGAGGGAACCCCGAGGCCGACGCGGAGGACCCGCCCCGCAGCAGCCCGCTTTGGGGATCCCGGGTGGGGGGGGGAGGAGGAGGAGGAGGAGGAAGATTTACCTCAGGAATGCAGCCTGCTTTTTCGGGGGTGGCTGACTGACACGGGGTGGGACGGGACGCTTTCCGTGTGGAGGAAGGTGTCCCTCTGTCCTTCGGGGCCGGGGATGTGGGATCGTTGGGTGGGTGGATGGATGGCGGGGAGGGCCAAGCTGGCGGAAAAACGTGTCATTCGTTCGGAATGCGCATACATACCAGGGCTTCCTAAAATTAATAGTCGGTTCTCGGGCTTCCTCGGGAATTAAAGGGCCGCCTGCTGCCCGGCAGGATCTGCAGCTGGATCAGTCACTGCACGTATTTTAGCGGAGGAGCCGCCACCTTTTATTGAGAGGATGCTTAAGGTCAGGGTGGTAATTGCTCAAAGCTTTCTGCGTATTGTGTGGGTTAAAAGCACCGAAGCTTCCCTCTTGCCTATGGGGGCGGGGGAAGAGAAGCATGGAGAGTCAAATCGAATAGGACCCTGTTAAATTGATTTTTTTTTTAAAAAAGGGGGAGAATAGAATAGAATAGAATAGAATTCTTAATTGGCCAAGTGTGATTGGACACACAAGGAATTTGTCTTTGGGGCATATGTGCTCTTGGTGTTCATAAAAAGACAAAAGACAAGATACGTTTGTCAAGAATCATAAGGTACAACACTTAATGATAGTCATAGGGAACCAATGAGCAATCAAATCCTATTAGGAAACATTATAAGGAGAGGAGGGGATTGCATCTCCCTGGAAGCTTCCCCAGAGCTGCAGTCTCATCAGCGGAATACATATTTGTCCCTGAGTTTATTTGGAATTATTGAGCTATTTTAGGATATCCTAAACCCAGGTAGACTCCAGAGTTATATAGTGTCAAGAGGAGAGATGTAGGTTAATTGTTCTCACAATTTGGGGGGGGGGTTTCCTTTAAAAAAAATGTTTTCCACTCTGCCAGCTTCTTTTATTATTTTAATAGTATTTTTTAAAAGTTATTAAGTGCCAGATTCTTTTATTTTAATAGTATTTTTAAAATTTTATTCAGATAACTGTAGTGAAAGTTTAAAAATATAGTAAAGAAGCCACCAGGGTAGCTACAGGGCACTTAAAGCAACATTTTGGCCACTATCTACCCTATCCCACCCCCCATAGAATTTGACATAGTGTACATTCTTAGAAGGTCAGTCTTTTTTTTTAATGGTCTTGATAAAGCTTCCTATAATGCTCTATTAATTAAGTTAGCATTAATTCTACGCCCTCATTCCTATGAACTTTAATCATCTGTGGGTAAATTTAGGTGCACTTTTTGCTGAACGAATAGCTCAGTTGTAGCTTAGCTAGATTATCTGTAGATGGCAGACTATAGTTTAATGCTCAGTAACTCTTCATATGCATATCCAGGTCAGAGATTACTTATTTCTGGCTAATAAATTTTGTGCATCCAAACTCTTGGATTAATTTTTGGCTTACTATACTGTGGAAATGCAGAAAATGGTAACCATAATGACTATGTTGTGTTTAGCAATAATATGAGGTGATCCAATAACAGGCTTTCAATTATGTTACACCAGTGTGATACTTTTTTTTTCTGAACTGCAGTTTTCAAGTTCTTGAGATGCAGCTAAAAGTTAAACTATTCATTAGTTTAAGCATTATTTTGTCTAGGAAGGGGTAAAGCTGTATGAAATATTAGTATAAAAATAAACTGCCCACTGGATGGCTGCTGTAATGGCTGTATTATGAAGTGAAAAAGGTAATCCCAAGAAAAATAGGATTTGGAGGAAGGTATCTTTGAGATTTATTCTGGGGTGCGGTGGGGTAATCACTTAGGTCTTCTGTGTCAAAAGAAAGTTTTATGTTATTTTCTTAGATCATTTTGTGAAGTTGCCTGTAGTTCAGGACAGTTTATGCTATAATATTTGTTGGCTTTTAAGATGCCACAAGGCTTTTCAATGCATTGGTTTATAACAATGACATTAAGAGAAATTAGTTGCCAGGTAATGTTTTCACACATAAGATTACTAGGCCATCAGACATTTGGAGCAGAGTGGTGTGTTGATTTGTGAGGAACGTACTTAATGAAGCAGTAGGACTGCAACTCCTGATAATCAAAGATCCTTAAGAAGAAAGATATATGACTGCAATTAGTTTGGGAGGAGGGGAAAAAGTAATTTCTATTATGCAGTATAGGTATTCATAGAAATGATTTAATACACAGTTTCCATTCACTTTGAGGGGTAGAAATAACTAGTATCTTTATGTGCCCTATTTAGAAGACAGTCCTGACCTAAACAGAGCTGTACAGCATTTAAAATGGGTGGAGTTAAATATATGCAGGTTCCAATAATTGGTGTCCAGATGCAATGAGAATTCTTAGATGAAGCCTTGGGCTTGTGAACTTTGGTATAAATAGGTTATACATGAAGGACTGAACATTTTGGAGAATGGACCCTTTAGTTCCTTGGTTCCAAGCCTTTCATAAGTGGCTAGAGTTAACTTAGGTATACAGACAATTCCTGGATTAAAAACTTCTGACCCATACTTACGAATAGGTTCCCTATTACTAAAAATGGCAGATGGTATTCTCTTTCCTTAAGCTGACAAACCACTGAAGCTGCCTGTTTTTAATATACAAGCTCTTTTCAGCGGTTCATAAAAACACAGCACATCTTCAGCAGTTTATCATCTCTAGGAAGGAGAAAGCTGTCCACCATTTTTTGTAATAGGCAGCCCATTTGTAAGTATGAGTTCTGATTTACATACAAATTCATGTTAAAGACAGGTGAAACTTGTTCTTAACGTTGTTGACAATCTAAGGCTACACATGCTTTGAAGTTTCACAGTTTCTTGACATTAACTGTATTGGTGAGAGCTTACACTCAGAACATTTTGAAGATGTAGGTTGCTAACCTTTGCTCCAACTCTATTAGTGCCTAGGAATTTTCAGTCTCAGAATTGAATTTGGGGAAATGCTACAAGGGAAGCATATGATGCTAAGCAAATCAGTGTATCCCTTTGCTATGACTATGTCTGCTGGAATCTGTGGTTGGTAGGTCACAGCTTCCCCCACTGGTTATATGCCGATTCTAAACTACATACAACTTTTGGGTCAATGATAACTAACAGAATGTCAAAGATATGGAACTAAGAGGCATACTACATCTTGGACAGAGCTGTGCCTTAATAATGATTACTGGTTGGTCTTTACTGGGAGGAATCTAGATGGTGTAAGTTTTTAATCTCAACCAAGGGTGTCTCTCTTTTAGAAAAATACTTGTTTCCATAAAGGAATATTCATGTTGAAGCCTGTGAGTGGCTGAGTTTGTACACAATTCTAAATCATAATCCAGAGTTAACGAACCAAAGTTGCTATGTTCACATATGTTGTACCAAATAGATCGATTGGATGGATTATGTGCTGTCAAATTGGTGATGACTGTTAACAATCATATAGATTTTCTCCAAGAAAGGCATGTTTTATTATGGCCTAATTTGGTATTCTGATTCAAGCTGCATTAAAGCATTATATGCTTTTATTTTTATCATAGCTAGTCTTGTTGTAAACACTGTTTCAGTTTTGTGTAAAGAGTTGTGTAGTACATTTTTTTAATGTATTGGTGTTTTGAAATAATGAGTGTTGCCTTTTACACTGCTGGAGTTCATAGGCATGCTAATTCATTACTAACAAGCAACAGTGCCTAAACCAAAATCAAACCATATCTCGGCATATTTTGTAAGCCTTGCCATTTTATTAAGCTGCATTATGTGATTTCTTTTGGTTTATATTGTACAACTACTGCTTGTTAACTATGATTTATTTTTTTGAATGTGTGAATGAAGCCACTCTGTAGCATGCCTGAGCCATTGTTTTCCAACAGTCAGCTAGACATAGGTGAGGATTGTACTAGATTCCCCACTACAATTCTACAGAGCTTTTCCCTCCCTTTCAGCAAAAGTGAAAGGGAACAGTGTGTTCTCACATTTGCCTGCAACAATCCCGAGTTAAAAAAAAAAAAAGTTGCAGTCTGTTTATGCTGTGTTGGCAAACTCTTTACTCATGGAAAAAAGAATGAAAAAGAGGCAAATGCCTGCTCTTGAAAGTAGTACAGGGTTTTCTTGTGGATTATATAAAAGCAGGAATGCAGTCAATCAAAGTTAAATTCCTGCCCATCAATTGTGCCCATAGAAAGGGTGGCCTAAGCTTTTCTAAGTTGTCACTACAGATCAGCTGTTCAGAAGCTTCTAACCTTTTTGGAGGGGCTTCACAGACCTTGGGGAGAAGTGTGCCTTGCTTTTCTTGTAGTCAGCTATTTTCAGGTCACCTTTCCATTCCAAAGAGCTCAGTACTGTGCTAATTCATGCGTGAAGGCTAGTGCTGCAGATGTATTGGAAGTTGGAAATCCCTACCAGCTGTGTTTTCAAAGGGAGAGAAAATGCTGAAAGGCAAATATTTGGATTTTTGTGGGACCTGAGTAAAACAAGTCTCTAACAATGAGAACATGTTGACCCTTTTGCAACATGCTGTAAGGGATATAACCAATTACAAGAATCAATTCTCAAAATATTAACAACATTCTTCCTCTTCCATACTGCTCTTACTCATCTTTCTCCTTTTCCTCATAGGTAGATCTATGCTATAGCTTTCCATCTTAATTTGTAAGAAAGCTCACTTGAGACCTCAGTGCATTTTTTTTTTTTTGCACCGAAAAAGATTGTGAGGCTATTAAAGCTTTTGGGCAGGGAGGCACAAATGTAAAATACTATGGAAAACAAATTAGCTCATTCTTGGGAGTTCATAATTAATACATTTGATGAAGCTATTTTAAGTTTTATGTTTCATTCTGATCTGACTAACTTGCATGGTGGTTGGCCTCTCACTTGGTATTCTGCAATCTGCTTATTTAGAGCTTGGAATCTGCTAGCAGAAAATA